ATATATATATATATATATATATATATATATATATATATATATATATATACACATACGGAACTGAAGCGCTCCTGCACCATTTGTATCAGCGCTTTATCATCCTTGACCAACCCCGGGCACGTGACCGGTTCCAACGAAACGTATGAGATAGGAAATGGGTAAGACCCAATCATATGGATATTTAGACCCCTTCTCCCGTATCCTAGTCCCCCTGTTATTAGCCATTTCGATTTTGTTTTCGAGCTTTGTGTGAAATTCGACAATCTTCTAGTTTTGTGTTGCCGTCCCGTTTACGTTGAAGTGGGTGCGACCCTGAAGACGATCGTAATATAAAAAACACCGGGAGATCTACGATTAATCCTTATCGATGACATTCACACCTAAATAAAAAAGGTCTAATTGGTTGTCTTAATGATGTGATCTTGCAACAGATAAGTTGATGGATCATCTTAATTCTGAAGAAGTTCTCTTTGCTGGGTTGCTTCTACGGATAAAATGAAAGATACCTGAATAGATGCCCGAAAAATAGAAAACAGAAAACGCCAGAATATTTCAGATGAATGATTCATTAAGTGCGTGTTTGTGTTTCGTAGGTAACGGTTGATAAATGCGGTTCGTAGTAAATTTTACCCGTTATGTCACAATCAGCAGTTTTAGTATGATAAGTTAGCCCCAATTAGTAAATGTCACTCTGTTACTTGAAGTGGAAAATCATTTGCGGCTTGATTTACAACAATTTTTCTTCTTCAAATGCAATGTCAATGAAGAGGTATTTGTTGCTCATGCCTGCTGTAACTACATCGGTATTTCGTTTCAATAAAGCAGTTCTATTTTTTTCTGTAGTCTGACTAATCCCAGTAAATTTAGGGTGTGTAGAGATCTTTTCAGTTCACTTATTTATTTCCCCACCGTTCGTTCAATCGTATTCGCTACTGGTTGTGAATATTGGAAGAATAAACTTGCTTTCAGATCGATCTGAAACTTCAGTGGTATTTCTAGTTTTTGGTCTCCTTGAAAAATTCACCTACTGAAGTGGGCTAAAGGATGAATTTTTATTTATGTAACATGCAAGCCACTGAACTCTGTTTAATAATCCACGTTTTCTCAGTGTACGACTACATGAAAGCTGTGACAAACTCATAGTTTTCTACTAAAAAAATGCGATGCTCGAGATAAGAATTCTCACCTGTTCTGTAAAAAAATTGAACTTCGGTTTCATAATCCTAATAAATTTCATCTCAATGCGTTCGTTACTCTGCATTTCATGGTAATCCAACTTTTTCATCATTCGTTATATCTTGTTATCTCGTCACTTTATTATACCAGTGCTGATTTCCCATTTTCCAGGTGGTTCCAAGCGGACAGTCTTTTGACACACGCCCGTCCGATCCGCGCACTTCGTTCCCATACTGTGGTATGTTCTGGTTCCGGTTCTGGCAATTCGGCGACTGGTATGATGTTGTCATCGATGATCGATTACCCACTCAGAATGGCCGACTGGTCTTCTTACATTCATCTGATCGCGATGAGTTCTGGTCAGCGTTGTTGGAGAAAGCCTATGTGAAATTGTTCGGCACCTATGAGGCAATGCGTGGCGGGAGTGCAGCAGAGGCGATGGAAGATTTCACCGGTGGGCTCACTGAACTGGTCGACTTGGGATCGAAAACCCCAGAAAACTTGTTCACCATGATGGAACGTGCACACGGTCGAGCCTCTTTGATGGCCTGTTCCATTGATGCAATTCCCAATCAGATTGAGGCAGAAGGTCCGTTAGGATTAATCATGGGGCATGCCTATTCTGTGACAGCGGTTTGTCGTGTAAGTGACCCAGGCGCATCCAGTCTAAGCTTTTCTTGGTGCTCACCGTTTTTGTGTGTGTGTGAGAGTTCTGCGCATTTTTCCATGATCACAAATACGTCGATTTTGAACAAATCTCTTTTTGGATAACTTTAACCTTCCCAGTTAAAGCCTACTTCTTACCTTGTCATATTCCTCGGGGATTCGGAAAAGCGGGTAAATTTTTTGGGAACTGCCACATGGCATACTGGTCAGTAGTATGTGCTTTCGAGCCTTATGAAAAATCCATCGGGATATTTTTGACGAAGTATACAGGATCTGTGAAAATTACGGTGCTTTCGCTAATTGTTCCTGTTATTTATGATTACTCACAGCTTATGTAAAGCGCAATTCAAATGGACTATCATATAGTTTTCGGGTATCGAAGATATCGCAACCGATATAGGAAACCCTTAGCTTGACACTATCACTACACTCGAAATTTAACCCTTTTCCACTTTGAAGTTGCCATTTATGCTGAAACTACTTACCTTTCCTTTGGGTCAATTTTCCAATCGAATTAAGGAATTTCGATTCCCAATATTGTCCCATTGCTTTACCATATAAGGTTGACCATTGGTTGGAGTACATGGAGTGCACTATGATCTACAGCGGATTTTGGCAACAGTGTCGTCACAAAATTAGGGCACAGTTGTCTATTCAGACTATATCGTGTGTATGTAATTGAATGCCTATTTCGTTCAATTAGAGAGCAACCACATAATCGAAAACAAGTGAAACATCTGTTACTGTGTAGAACACTGACCTCTTTCCAGTCTTCCAAGCTCCTATTATCCACTGTCCAATCCTTTTGTGCTTTTCTGGGGAAAAATGCGTACCATTGTGCCTGATAGCATCTATTCGTTCGCTCTTCCGTTTTTGTTGTTTCCCGTTTGTACCGAATCCGATCGGTCTATGTCACTATGGTAGACATCGGTGCCGCCGGTTTTAGTGATGACCCCAGTGACTGGTCAAGGTAAACACGTGATTCAAGAAGTAGAAGTGCCTCGCTCACGCAATAAGGGGAGATTTCAATGACCTTTGATCAGTGACCCGTCTACGTTTACCAATTATTATCCTTCAACCATTCGCGCGGGCACGTCATTGAGACCGTGGTTATCGATCGATTAAAAGCCTCATATGCGAGTGAACACCGCGCTCATCGACTAACTCAATCGCGGCCATCGTTCATCTGTTTGCACAACTAAATTAGTGCATCAGGGCCCATGGATGATGGATGGTGGGTTGAACAAAAGTGAAACTGTCTACCGGCAACCAAAAGCATGATCTCCAAGTGAACATGCCCTGTCCTTTCAAAGGCATCTCATAAAACTGGTGCTCCAGAAGGGCTGGTTCGATGACCAGCGTTACTTTTCCCCGCTAATGTAAATACTATTTGAAACCTTCTTCCATCCCAATTTGTTTGCACTTTAACCGTTGATTCATCCAAGTTACTATTCAATGAATCATTGAAACACCAAACTGTCCAACACCCGTGAGTGAATGCGGATGTTGATAACTGCGTTCGTACTACTGTCCAAACCCAGTGTATAAAAATATTAGTGTACTCACTAAAATTCAGTTTTGTAATCTATCCGTAATAAAAGTTTGGTCTGGATCTACATCATGCTAAGTTATTCCCCTTTTTAATGTATCACCAATAGGTCTAGCGGCTCATCTGACCGCAAGTAAAATTCCTGTTACTATATAGTTTACTTTTATAATCTTTACATATACATATACTCTGTCATGAATAGAAGTATATTCACCATATATATTTTTTTAATTGAAATCTTCGGTCAATGTTCTTCGGTTGCAATTTACGTACACTCAAATTAGGCCCCGAGTAAGCAAACCTATATCTACAGGCAGTCTCGGCTCTGGTGATACCATTGCCTCCGCTTGGTGTCGTTTCTTCTGAGTTTAGTTTCCAGCTCTCTGAAACTCAACAGATGTCTCTCCTTGTTTGTTTCCGGACTGCATGGAGTGACGACTGCGCCGTTTCCACCTCGCAAAATAATATATTCCACTGAGTTCGCTTGCGCAACATAATCTGTGGTCGCATGATTTTCATTCGCACTAGAGCGGCTAAAATATCGATATAGACTAGACGCTAAACTAGTCAATGCGGCCTACATTTGGCCTCATGCATACCCGGGAGAAAAAAATTGCTAAAACCCCAAATTTCGTTTTGTCTCTGATTTTTATTGGATGTCTGCCGATTGGTCATCGAAGACAACCCGAACTCACTTTATGGTTTCTCACTCCTCATCTCATCGGATCGGTACACGACGGAAAATTTAAATGAAAAGAAAAAAAATTGATTGTTGTTTTTGATAATCAGATATGGTTTAAAAATCTGCTAAAGGAAAAATACACGGATTGATGTATCAACTCAAGAAACCAGTGTTGTCTAATTTCTTTTAAACGAAGGATTGCTCACTGTTGAACAGGTAGTTGAACGGGTTAGTGAACTGTTTCGTTAGGTCAGCGTTCAGCACAAAACTTCTCTGATCGGTCTCAGTTACGAAATTAGTTTTCTTGGTATGTGTTTCCCTTTTCCTGCACGAATGCTGTTGTGGCCTGCGTTTCACCCCGTTAATGCACTCGCGTTGATGACATGATGATTGAATGTTTTTATGTCGTGGTCTTTCACTTGAGAAATAGCCCGCATTCGAATACACATACTGTGTGGTTAATGGTTGTGAAAACTGGAGAATTCGAGTTCTGACAGGGACACAAAAAGTACGTACTGCTGAGGAGTTCCAAACAGGACGAAGCAACTGTCCAGTGCTCTTTGTTGGTTATCACAAACATCAATCCGCTTTGTGTCCTCGAATGGATTTCTCTCGTTTATCTGAAACCAAGCGCAACACAACACAAAGCTATACAGAAACCACGGGTAGTGAGCAGTAATATCAATTCATGTGAGATAGCAACCGTTTCAGCCACTTTCATTGATTCCTTGAATGACCGAATCACAATATGCATGACCAAATGGTTCCCGTTTACGGTCAGAGAAGCTACATCTGTAATTCAGCCTGAATACTCCTAGTAATGGTGGTCAAGCGTGCATCTTTTAACTGGGACAGAGTAATGTCGTCGTTGTTCCGGTGCGTAACTTTTGCCGATATGATCACTTGTGCATCCAGTTCGCGTTTCTCAGTTCCATTCTTGATGAAGCAGTTAGGCGCGTGGTTCTTCATTTTCACTTCTCCACGAATGCAGTCGTCACCAGTGTATTAGCCGGGACAGTGAAATATAGAATTCCTGTTTCTTCGCTGATGAAAATGAATAACATGGAATAACACGGTGGCTATATGTTTGATCTCGAATAACTACTCGATTATTGGATTATCTGTTAATTGTTAACTTCAGGTTATTCTACTAAAAACTCTCAGGTGCATATTCAGTTTCAAACTAAAAATGAAATGCACGTGCCGAACTATTTCGGGGTTAAACTATGAAGGGCTATGAAAAAGCACAGTAGAGGTGGTCTTTGACGTTCGGAAAATGTCGCTCCGTTCGAACACGAGAAAGAACAGTATATACATTAATACAAAGATTCAAAGATTTATTATGGGAATAACTTACAAGCTCATGCTTTTCTGGTCTCATA